GGGCGCCCGCCGCCCGGGGCGTGGCCTCTCGCGGCCCCGCCCTCCTCGCCGGAGACCGGGCAGGCGGGCAGCTGGCGGCGGCGGCGCCGACATGGCTGCTCTGGTGGAGCCGCTGGGGCTGGAGCGGGGTAAGCGCGCCAGGGGGCCCTGCCCACCGGCCGCGGCCCGCGTCCGGGACCCCGGTCCCCGCCCCTCCCGGCCAGGCCCCGGCGGGTGGGCGGGCAAATCGAGCGGGGGTGGGCGGGGCGGGGCGCCGCGAGTCGGCCGTTCGTGGGTGTGGGAGGGTCCGTGGGCTAGCGGGCCCAGGAGGGGCTCCCACCGCACAGCCCTGCCTGCGTGCGTATGGGGATTCTGGGGCGCAGGGCGCCTGGCTGGCCGTAGTCTCCCTTGCCACCGGCAACTCTGCGGGTGTCCGACTGAGACTCGGCTGTCTTTCCCGGGATCTGTCTGCGTTCGCCCTTACTGGTTTCTGGCCGCATCTCTCCGAGCTTCTCCGTGTCTCTGACTCTGTGTCTATGCGCCCCGCCCCCGCCCCGCAGACGTGTCCCGGGCGGTGGAGCTCCTCGAGAGGCTCCAGCGCAGCGGGGAGCTGCCCCCGCAGAAGCTGCAGGCCCTCCAGCGAGTCTTGCAGAGCCGCTTCTGTTCTGCCATCCGGGAGGTGAGAGCAGCGCGGCGCCGGGACACAGGCGGGCGGCCGCCCGTCCTGATCGTCGCCCCGAGCTCAGGGACTACGCCTCCCAGCAGCGCCGGGGGGCGGCCCGCCTTGGGGTGCCAGCGCTTCAGCTCCGGGTTTCTTCGGGAGTTGTAGTTTCCTCGGGCTCCAGGTCGCGGGGGCGGGGCGGATCCTTGGGTGGGAGGGTCTGCGGGCCTGGACTCCGGCGTTGAAGGGAGGAGGGGGCTGGTGGCTCGCTGATGCTGCTGCGTCCTCACCAGGTGTATGAGCAGCTCTATGACACGCTGGACATCACCGGCAGTGCTGAAATCCGGGCCCACGCCACGGCCAAGGTTGGTGTCCCCCACCCCATCACCCACGCTATCCGCTGAACTGCATGGTCTGGTTTAGTATCTTCCTAAAGTCAACTGTGCCCGTTTCCTCCTTCATGATTTTTGTCGAATCTATGTACCAGCGTTATTGTTATTTACTGATCTTTTCAATAATCTCACGTTTTACTTAAATGTCATATAAAGGCATCTGTAGCAACCGCCAGTGGAAGCTAGTACCGCATACCTGACAAGAGGATACCCTTTAACACCTATACAACGAAATAGCATTAAACACTGAAATCTTAGTAAACTATAGTTGTATGCTATTTCTTGCCGCCCCCTGGAGGCTCTCAGTTCCTTCCAGGCCTTGTTTTTCTCTGTTAAAAATCGAGATTGGCAAGTGGTGAGTATTTAAGAGGCACTCATACCAAAATGGAGACATTCTCTTTGATGTCTGAAGCATTGAGAGGGAACTAAAAGGGACTCATAACAGTGTGAGCTTGTGTTGAACGGCGGCAGGTGCCCCGTGAGTGGGGAAAGTGATCTGGCCTAAATTGCTCTCCCTGGCCCAGATCCTCCCCCCTCGTCCGTACACCCACCAGGGAGGGGCCCTCCCCTCCCCACACTTTTTCTCTCCTAGGCCACGGTGGCTGCCTTCACAGCCAGTGAGGGCCATGCACATCCCAGGGTAGTGGAGCTGCCCAAGACAGATGAGGGCCTGGGCTTCAACATCATGGGGGGCAAGGAGCAGAACTCCCCCATCTACATCTCCCGTGTCATCCCTGGAGGCGTGGCTGACCGCCACGGAGGCCTCAAGCGCGGCGACCAGCTGCTGTCCGTGAACGGCGTGGTGAGTGGGGACTGAGGCTGGGCTCCCGGTCTGTTCAAGGTTAGCACAGTCCCTGCTTTTGACATTCATTCAACATGCACCGCTTGAGTACTGCCTCTTTGTCCAGCCCTGTGCTGGGCACCACTAGAGACACTGAAAGAGGTTTGCCTCAGCTCCCGTATTCAAGGACTCCTTTTTGGTGAGAGAGAGAGACTCTGACTGAAATAATCTTGATCCAGGGAGATAATAATGAGGAAGCACAAAGCATTATGAGAGCCCAAATGGGACACCAGACCAGCATAGGTGAGGGAAGTTTTTTGCAGAGGAAGGAACATTTGAGTTGGGTTTTGAAGGATGCAGAGGAGTTCTCCAGGCAAATAGGGTAGAGAAGAGTATTACTAGCTGAGGATGTTGTAGGTCGGGGCTGTGACTCTACACTCCTCTGAGCTGAACAGAAAGGGCTTGGGGCCAGCCATGCAGGGCCCAAGTGTCAACCTGGGAAGCTGGGACTTCATCTCAAGGGTTCTGGGGAGCCTTGGGAAGGCTGTGAACAGCGGAGGGATAGGCTCAGCTTGGAGGGGTCGAAGGACCCCTTTGGAACTCTGTAGGGGATGGACTGAAGGTAGAGACTGGAGGCCAGAAGTTCTAGGGAGGAGGCTAGGTGAAAGTCCCTGGGGAGAAGATGAGGCCTGAACTGGGGCCAGGGTGGCAGGGACAAAGTAGGGAGTCAGAGCAGGAGGGATGGGGCCGGGGAACAGCAGGCTTTGGGGAGGGAGGGGATAAAGGTGGACTTGGAGGTCCGGCTTGGTGACTGAGGGCTTTGAGGGCTTGTCCCTGACATGGGGAACTTGGCAGGTTTGGGGGGAGGAGGACGCTGAGCCAAGAGTGAATGTGCTTCTCCCAGAAGGACACAAGGCCCTGGCAGCCCGGGCTGGTACCAGGCTCACCCACAGTAGGGTCGGGGCTGGGTGTGGGTGGGAGGCCCCAGGCCCAGGTGTCTGTACACCGCCCTGCAGAGTGTTGAGGGTGAGCAGCACGAGAAGGCAGTGGAGCTGCTGAAGGCAGCCCAGGGCTCGGTGAAGCTGGTGGTGCGTTACACGCCTCGCGTGCTGGAGGAGATGGAGGCCCGCTTCGAGAAGATGCGCTCTGCTCGCCGGCGCCAGCAGCACCAGAGCTACTCGTGAGCCCTTTGCCACCACACCCCTGCGGCCTCCACCGCCTCCTTTATCCCCAGAGTCCCAGACCAGACCAGTGACTTCTGGGACCTTGATGGCCACCACCCCCAGCCCCGGCTCCTCTCTCTGGGGTTCTGACCCTTGACCCCTGACCCAGGCTCTCACAAGCTATCCTGGCTAAATCCTTTGGGGGGTCTCCTAGGCTCACTTTCATCCCAAGGTCTGCAGCCGACTCTCCAGAATCCCTCAGTCCACTGCCCTGGGCCCAGGCCTGGCTCTCTCCCATGCCTCCCCAGGTCCCCTTCCCTGAGCTTGACTCCCCTCTCTTCCCCCTCTTTGCAGGTCCTTGGAGTCTCGAGGCTGAAACCACAGATCTGGACCCTCACCCTCACCCCCTCCCCTGTACAGTATTTATTGTCACTGGCTCCTTATTTAAAGATCTTTGACCCTCATTGAGTGTCTGTGTATCTGTCCTGCATCCTGGGGCTAGAGTGTCTTGAGATGTTGGGGGTGGGTGGAGAGAAGCTGAAGTCCAGAGACTGCTTTTCAGAGCCTGAGAGCAGAGGCAGAACTTTCCCCCAAGGTCTGAAGGCGGTGGTTGGCCGGCTTCCTAGGCATAAGTCCAAGGCGGAGGCTGGGACCTGGTCTGGGTCCGAGTGCGGGGTCAGAGCCGAAGACAACGTCCCCTGCCCTTAAGAGAGACTGAGGGCGAAGGCCAAACCCCTTCTGTAGTTGGTCTGACGGAGGAGTCCCGAGAAGCTGCGGAGCCGGTGGGCAGCCTCTGTGTGGGCGGGGTGGAACGAACCATTAGCTTCGTTCGCCAGGGGAGGCCTGCAGGCCGTACTATCATCAGCGTGGGGGGTGAGGGTGCCGCGTGCAGTTCCCAAGGTGGGCGCAGGGGGTGCAGAGTAAGGTGCACTCGCCGACCGGCCATTCACCCCACCTTCCAACCTGAGCGCGTGCCTCCGGGAGCCGCCCCCGCCTTAAAATCCAACCTTTAGTCCCACCTCGCCGCCGGTCCAGCCCTGCTGTCCCGTGCGGCGCTAGGGCTAGCGCGCGCCACCTCCGGGATCCGGGGTCGCGACTCGCATTCCACGCCGCGCGCCACTAGCTCCAGGTGACATCATCCCCCTGCCGGGCTCCGCCCCCCGCCCCAGCCGCCGCACGCCGCGAGCTTATTGGCCGGCGCTCCTTGAGCCCCGCCTTCCGCTCTCCGCCCGCGCGACCCCTCCCAGTCCGTGCGGAGGCGGGGTTTAGCCACCGGCCGGCTCCGACGACGCCTTCCATTGGCCATTCAGGGCCGTCTGTCAGTCTCCTGTTAAAGGGGCCACGACCGCACGGGAGCTGTGGGGGGGAGGGAGGAGGAATTTTTTTGGGGGGGAGGTGGGATTTTGGGGGCGCTGGTGGGCACCCCTGGATCTGGCGGCTTCGGCCTCGCGGGGGGGAGGCTGAACGGTGATAGGGGCAGGGGGCTATTTTAGGGGGTAGAGGTCTGTGAGACTGTGAGGGGGAGGGGGGTCCCCAGCGCCCAAGCCGGAGCCAGAGACGCGGAGCCCGCGCGAGCGGCGGAGACAGGGCTCCGGAGCCACAGATCCGGGCCCCGGCCGCCGCCAGGGGCCCCGCCCGGTCCCCCCACCCCACCCCACGTCCCTCCTGCAGCCCAGCTCCGCCCGCAGCCGCCGCGGACCAGGTAGGTGAGAGCCCGGCCCAGCCCGCTTGGCAGCGCCCACCCCGGGGACCCCTCGCCGAGCCTCCCTCGCCTTGCCGAGATCCTGGACTCCCTTCTTTATACCCGGGGGCCCTGGAGCCCAGATTCCACAGCCCAACCCCAGACACTCAGGCGTGCCCCTCCCGGTTCTCAGAGTCCCCAACCGAACCCTAGAATTCCAGGCGTACTGCCGCCTTGCGCCTCGTCCAGGGCCCAGGAGCCTGGATTTCTCAGCTCAGCCCCGGGAGCCTCCTCTGGACCTACATTCTCTTCCTCGGCCCAGTCCCGGGAGCTCCAGACACCTGCTGTGGCTGTGTCAGATCTCCCAGCTAGGGCCAGCTGCCCCCCGTCGCGTCTGCATAGTCCCCTATTCGTGCACGGGGTCTGCCCATCTCCAGCCCTCCGGCTTGAACAGCCAGCCCGGTCCCTCAGTCCAGGCCGGCTCGGCGGCCGCCCTGGACGCAGGCCCGCTCTGGAGCTGTCCATGGTCAGCTCACTCGGCAGCCTCACCTCCCCCACCTCCTGCTGTTGCTGCCGCCGGGGAGGGGGCGCCTGCGGCGCCGGGATCCCCCCAGCCGCGCCTTTGACCCGGAGATACCCGGGCCCTCTCTGACCCGGGCGCCTGGGCCTCAGGGCTCCTCTGGCCAGCCTCTCGGCCGCGTCCTCAGTACCCCAGGTTTCTGGGACCCCAGCTGCTTCTCGAGGAGTCAGGGCTTCTGAATGTTCCTGCCTAGTCCACCTCAGGGACCTTGGCACCCAGGGATTCAGCTCCCACCTGACTCTGGGAACCCTGTCAGTGTTCACTCCGTCTGCCTAAAGGCTCTAGCTGGTAGCCCCCAGCCCCTCAGGACCTGGGAATCCAGTTTCCCAGCTCTTGCCCCCTTTAGAAACCCAGTTCAGCAGCCCCTGTGCCCCTCAGGCGATTATACCCAGATTCCTGGCACCCCAGCGGCTGCCTGATTAGGGATTCAGGCACCATGACTCTCTCCCTTTCAGGGGCTTGGAATGCAATTCTTAATGCAATTCTCTGCCTTCTGCCCACCTTCCCCCCTTGGAGACCTAGATGCTTTGTCCCAGGTTCTGTATTCCCTTCAGGGACCCAGGGGTTCAGACCCCAGCTTCTGTACTGCTCACCGAAGCCACCTGCCACAGCCCTCCTTCCCAGCAAGGACTTGGGCTCCGAGCTTCCATCCCCTGTCTTTTATCTCCAGGAGTCCAGGCCCCCACCAAGTATCTAGACCCTTAGCTCTAACTCTTAGGAACCCAGGTTCCCACAGCCTCACAAACCCCATCTACCTGACATCTCCCTTGGCCTTAACAAACCCCTGCCTCGTCCCCATATCATCTCAGGTGCTGGGGGCTCTCTACTCTCTTCCCTGAGACCCAGCTTCCTGAGATGTTTCCAACACCCCATGAAGATGTTCCTATGTTATGATGTCTCATCCTCCGAGTACACCTTCTCAGGCTGATGAGCCAAACACACACCCCTTCCTCTAGATGTGTTCTGTGACCTAGGTTCATCAGATGATCTAGAACCTACCCGCTATCTTCCATATTTCCGGTTAAACTGTGCTCTTGCAATGCTCTAGATTCATTCTAAATCTGAGAACACTCTCAGTCAATATCTCTGTTCCGTTTTCACCCAAGGTATATTCTAAATTCTAGATTAGGCGGTCAATTCTAGGCGTGTGTTTCCCTAAGGAATTCAAATATCTTGGTAGTGCCCCCAAGCTAAATGCTGATCCCACCTTCTCCTCACACGTGTTCCAAATCTTTCGAAACCAGAACTTGCTGATTCTCTGCGAAAATTTTATTTTAGGTGTGTTCTAGGCTCAGCCACATCCTTGGCACTGTTCTAGATTCCTTTCTCTCCCCGGGGACATTCTACATTCTAGAACATGTGTGTTCCAGATATGGGCTCTAGCTTTTTTCCAAATTGGGCTATCAATGTTAAAAGGCACTTTCCTGTTTTAGGTTCCAGTCCAATTCTGCGGTCTTAAATCTAAAGGGTCCCCACTGAAATGTTGTACGTCTTCCCCCTTTTGCAGGTACTGGGTTCTAGGCCCATCCATTCCCACCTTTTCTGTCCATCTTTTCCCTAATGTGACCTTTGTGTAGAACTTATCTCCTGGCGGATCGTGGGCTTCCTCCTCCATCTGCTACTTTAGCATTCTTAGCAGGCTCTAGGCTCATCTCCTCTTTTTGGAGTCTTCAGCTAGAAATGTCCTCATTTCCAGAACATCTCTCCCCCCTTCCTTTGCCAGCTCAGTCCTTATGCCAGTAAATTCCCAATTCCCAGCATGCTTCTGCATCTTCCCCCAGGCACTTCTAAGTTCCAGGCAGACTCCTTGCTACTTTCTAGGGTTTTTTCCCACCTCCAGGGCCTGCGCTCAATTCTGAAGCATATCTTCTCCCTTCTGTCTATCATGTAGACACATGATAAAGCTAAGAGTGTGGCTCCTGATTTGTTCTTTGTTGTACCTGCATCCCTGGTAGGTGTCACTTTCTAGATTATTTCTCCTGACTGGGTCCGTTATGCATTGCATTAGGTATGTTCTTAGATATCATTCTGCACCCCTTTGTGTTCAGGGTTCTTGGGTGACCCAGATACTCTTTAACATATTGGATTGCTTTTGGCTGGTTCAAGATTCTAGGTCTGGGTTCTAGAATGTGCCCCTCCCTCTCCTTAGCCCTATGTGAGGATTTTACTGTACATTTTCTGCCCTCTGTGCTGTATTCACGCCAGTGGCTTTCTAGATTCTACATCCAGCCTTGCTAAATCTCATTTCCTTGTCAGTGCATTTGAAGTTCTGGAGCGGCTTCTCTAAAACATCCTGTTTGCATCTCCTGAGTAGGTTCTGGGTTTTAGACACGATGTTGGTCTTGACCGGTCTCCTTATAAACATTGTCATGAGATTGGCCTCTGAGTGCTGGCATGCCGGTGTCTAGATTCCCAGGTGTACCTCTTCAAAGACCAAGGCGACTGTCTGCCTCCTCTCCCAGGTTCCAGGGCCCTCCAGCCCCTCCTCTTCTCACTGGAGTCCAAGACCCCAGTTCCAGGTTTTGGACATAGTCTGCACATTGGGTGGGGCTGGGAACTATCCACTCTCAGAACCGGTTATGCTGCTGCCTGAAGGGACAGAAGGAAAGGAGGGAACAGAGCGAAAGTCACTTCTGCTTTCCACCGGGCCAGCTGGACCCGTCTGACCTGATGTGTGTGGAGGGAGCGGCTCAGGAGACCTCCCTTTATCTCCGCCCACAGCTCATGCACCCAGATTCCTGAGACCTGGGGGCCTGGACTCCTAGGTTCTGGGGGAAGAGGGGTCTGAAGGCTGGGATTTCTGGGTCTGAGGTTGGAGACTGAAAGCTCAGATTCTTGTGTCCCTGTCTGACCCCCAGGATTGGGGAAGAAGCGGCTGGAGGCTCAGACTCCTGGGTCTAGGGGAAAGAAGGGAATTGGGGACCTAGCCTCCTGTGACCTGAGGTAGGAGGGAGCTGGATCTTGGACTCCTAGGCTGTGGGAGATGGCTAGCAAATGGAGTGGTTTTTAGATTCTTCTGGAGCTGGGATCCAGATATCTGGAAAATTGAGGGCAGGATTTGGGCTGTATAGGTCACATCCCTGTGACCTCATACGGTGCCACTGACCTAATTCTGTGACCCCAGTTCCTTGGCCTCCTGAATGCATGGTTCTCGTTTGAGCTTCCGGTTTCTCACTCATGCAGTGGGTTAATGCCGGCCCCCAGCAGGGTCAGAACAGGGAGAGACTGATTTTCCCATATTGACTCAGGCAATGGGTCACCTGGCTTTGGTTTCTCTGACTAGACTGGTCCTAGATTTGCTGCCAGTGCCTGATGGCGTCTGGCCTCGGTTTCCCCAGATGCTCTCACCTAGGTAGCTGGGCCTGATTTCGTGAGAGCAATGGGTTTCAGTTTATCCTGTGCCATGATCAGAATGGATGGACCTCAGTTTCTTCAGTACAAAGCCTGGGTTGCCCCGCCTCAGTTTCCACCATGTAGTATCCGAATGGCCGTGCCTCAGTTTCTCGACGAGGCCGGTCTCTGTTCCCTGCCCCCTCCCCACTCCCGCAGGCCAGCACCGCCGCCATGATGTGCGAGGTGATGCCCACCATCAGCGAGGATGGCCGGCGGGGCTCGGCGCTGGGCCCGGACGAGGCGGGCGGCGAGCTGGAGCGCCTTATGGTCACGATGCTCACGGAGCGCGAGCGCCTGCTGGAGACGCTGCGCGAGGCGCAGGACGGGCTGGCTACGGCACAGTTGCGGCTGCGCGAGCTGGGCCACGAGAAAGACTCGCTGCAGCGCCAGCTCAGCATCGCTCTGCCCCAGGTCTGGGCGGCACCGGGGCGGGGCTTGCGGGAGGCGGGACCTCGACCACTGAAGGCGCGGAGGGGGCGGTCCGGAAGGGGCGGGACTTGGCGCTTAGAAGGGGGGGGAGACCTTGCCGGTGATGGGCGGGGCCTGAGCCGCGGAAAGGGGCGGGGATTTAGCAGGGAGGGGCGGGGCCTTCAAACTTCCAGTCCCTATGTAATGAGGGACATGGGGAAAGGATTGATCTAATTGTCCGGTTCCTGCCCACATCTGGACAGGAGTTTGCGGCTCTGACGAAAGAGCTGAACTTATGTCGGGAGCAGCTGCTGGAGCGGGAGGAAGAGATTGCAGAGCTGAAGGCGGAACGGAACAACACGCGGGTGAGGGGGAGGGGTGTGGGGGCGGGGCCTAAGCGGGGCGGGCGGGGCCACGGGGGTTTGTAGCCTGACCCATCTTTTCTTTACCCATCTTGCCTCCCTACTACCACTGCCTGGCTGTCTCCTCTGGTCCCCTCCTTGCTTCATATTTTCTCCCCTATCTCCGTAATGGCTCTCTCTTCCTGCACTACTCCTTCCTTGACCATGCCCCGACCTTTCATATCCTTCTCTCTTTTCCCGACCTCTCTCCTTTACCCCTATGCTTGGCTCCACCCCTTCCTCCGTGTGTCCGTCCCCCTGTCAGAACCACCCTTGTCCTGACTCTGCCTCTCTTCCCTTGCCTCTTTTCCTTGGCCCGGTGACCTAATCCTGTAGCTTCTCCTTGAACACCTGGAATGCCTGGTGTCCAGGCACGAGAGGTCACTGCGCATGACCGTGGTAAAGCGCCAGGCCCAGTCCCCGGGTGGGGTCTCTTCCGAGGTGGAGGTGCTCAAGGCTCTAAAATCCCTCTTCGAGCATCACAAGGCCCTGGATGAGAAGGTATGAAAATCGGATGCAGAACGAAAGGCTATGGTTGGCTGGGGCTTCCCTGGATAGGACAGATTCTGGCTGTGATTGACTGGGGATGTCCTAAATGGGAAGAATGTTGCCTGAGATTGATTGGGACATGCCACTTCAGATTGGGACTTGACTGATAACAGAAAAATTAATTTGGGGGGGGGGGGCTACCAGTGGGTGGGGCTGCCTTGGTAACTGGCTGGAGCTGCACACACACCATAGAT